GCCATTCTATCCGACCCACGGGGCCCCTAAAAGTTTTAGAAAATTAAATATTTATCTGCCCCTGGCTGCCTGTCATGCGGCCCTTGATGGCTTGCCAAAACTCAGTAAACGGCCCTCCGCCCGAAATAATTGCCCACCCCTGGCTTAGAGAATGGGCCTCCCCTGGCTGCACTTGATAGCAAATGTAAAAGTAAACAAATGCAGTTTAGGCTGCAAGTGGCTGAAGGGGAGGAAAGGAGGCCACTGAAGGTGCACTGTGGAGAGGCCAGAGTATTGCTGGACTGGCAAGTTGCTAGAAGCCCAACAAATGGTGACCAGGCTGTCTGAACCCTGAGCAACGGGGCAGAGGGACAATAACCCTAGAGAGGGTACAGAGCAGGCCACCCAGGACCACACTGGTTCTCTGGAGGCAACCTCCCACATTATGACAGTAACGTCAAAGGAATGGCAGGCAAGGACAAAAAGGGTGGTACCCAAAGGTACTAGAGTGCAAAGAACAGGATTAGAGTGGCCACACGGAGACACCATTGCCAGTGGATCCTGTTACATATGGGCCAGATATAGAAACAGTGATCTCAATATGCCAGGTTAGATTAGCTATGTACTTTTATGAGGGTTTATGGCACTGGTTCTCAACAGGGGCCCTGTGATGCAGGCACTGCAGCCACAGTGGCAGCAGCCGGGTAAAACTGCTCTGCACACTACTCCTGCAGTAGGGCTCCAATCAGCCAAAAGCAGGCAGGAGCTGGCTAGTACTGTGTAGCTCTTCCTGGTCCAGTCCCTCCCATGCTCCTCCTGGAAACAGGAATGCAGGACAGTTCTACCTGCATGCCTGTTTCCAGGATACAAAGCACAGGGCTACATAGCACAACCAGCTCCTGCCTACTTTAGGCTGATCAGAACCTTAATGCAGGAGGAGCATGCCTATGTGCCACAGCCCTTACATCGCTAGCACATGAGGCACTTTTACCGGGAGGCAGCAAAACCTGGTTGAGAAATGATGAGGTGAACTGAGTGCTCTGAAAAGGTTAAGAAATACTGGTTTAAGGGATGCAAAAACTTATCAACTGACTGACAAATGAGGCAAAAATGTTTGCTACTATACTAGCTAGAGCAGAACTAGTTCTGAGGCACAGTACCCCTCATGTAAGAAATGCTCCTTGTTCAAATAGGAATTAACATAAAAAAATAACTGAGATCTTGCTGGGGTGTTGTATTAGCATGTACTTTACCTGCACGATACACAGAAGGAGTAAAGCATTAAGCACAGATTAGTGAAACTAAAAGTCTGTCAGATATTTCGGGGGGGGGGGGGG